ACCTAGCTGCACCCTTTACTGTGCCCCCTCTCAGCATGAAGCAGCCAAAGCGGTCATCGCCCCTTTTCCCTAGCAGCAGTTAGAGTATCTGTAAAAGAGAGAATGAAACAGAGACCATAGGCTTAGACAGAATATGGTGAGAGCCTCTGGAAAAAGCAAGGCAAGATATTTGCAGTCAGAGCAATGTAACTACATGCTAAGAACCCTGCCCCCCCACCCACGACGCCTCTTGTCAGCTGGAAGTAGCCAGATTGAGTTGTCGCCCATTATGACCAAAAGGCTGGAATGTAAGGTTGGAGGCACCAGAGGGAGGAGTGAGCACATCGGACACTGATGACGTGCCAAAGTCTCTGGCTGCTGCCCCCTCCCAACCTGAAAAATGTGCCTTAGGCTAGCCAGTCCTCAGGCTGCTGTAAATCTAAGCTCTGCCTCCCCCTACCTTCTTTAAAAACTCACTGCCTGCCCTGCTGAGCATGACTTCCCCATCCTGTGCCTAGCCAGACTGTACATCGCCCGGGAATTGCGCTCAAATAAACTGCCTGGCCCTTTGTTGCCTCTCGTTGCCTGCTTATTTCAGCTAGAATTTATCTTACGATAATGTCAAACATGGTTCTCTGGAATAACTTCCAAGCCTAAAACCCCAGTCTCAAATGATCTGAAGTTCATCTATGTGTTTCTGTGAAGGTATTTTATAAATGGATTAAATCATGATCAGTAGACTTTACATAAAGGAGATTATCCTAGATAATTCGTTTTGGTCTGATTCGATAGTTGAAAGGCCTTAAGAGCAGAACTGAGGTTTCTCAGAAGAAATTCTGCCTGTGGGCTGCAACTTCAACTCATGTCTGAGTTCCAGCCTGACTTTCTTAACAGCCTGCTCTACAGACTTTAGACTTTCCCCCCAACCAACCCCCACAATTGTATAATTTCTTGCCAAAAATTCCTTTATATCTCCTACAACTCATTCTATTTCTCTAAGCCCTAACACAGTGACTGAACATAAGTATTTCTGAGTAGTATTGCATATAATTTGGATTTTCTATTTTAATTATAACAAGTACACATATTTTTATATCCATATAGGAGTGATTATATGGGAGGATTAACATATACATGTGTCCTTTCTGACTAGGCCCAACCCTGAACTCCCATGTCCTTCCTTGTAATATCCAGTTCTAGCAAGACTCCAGTTAAGTCAGTTTACCCAGAATCCCACCCCCCTCGATATATGATTGGGTTCCTCATCCTTCACTATCCCACAGATGATGTCTGATTACTTCAGCCTGCTTTCAATAAGAATACTCTTGAGTTGATCTAGCAAGAATTCCCCCTTACCTCTGATGCTTCCTCTTAGAAATTTTCCATCCAGTGATGCCTCCACCACACACACCCCACTCCCTGACTACAAACTCCTACTTTTCCTGTCATATTCAGAGTTGAGCCCAATCTGTCTGTGGGTAAAATTATAGTATTTCCAGAATATCTCACCTGGCTTTAGTACATCTGCATGTCAATAGGTGTTCAGAGGTGGAGAGAAGTATGGCTTTAGTGCATCTGCATCATTCCTCAGGGGTAGAGAGAAGTTCATCTCCATATCAGTGGGTAATTATGTGGGCAAGGAGGGCTTATCCATACCCAAGAGGTGAGGGGAGAGCTGGTTTTGCTTCTGCTGGAGCAGGAAAGAGAGAAGGGCTCGGACTGCAGTTTGTAAGTAATAAATGGGTTTTAAGCTTTATTCCACCCTTTGATATCAGTTTTAGAGGTATTTTACCCCGGGATTTCCTCTCCCCGGACTTACACTCTACTACTACTAAAACCCACCACAGTAACCCCCCTTGAATAAAGTCTGCTTGACCATCTTTAACAATAATCAATAATTTTTTCTTTAACACCTCTAGGCTTTTTTTGATCATGATTCTCAATAAACATTTTTTGACCATTTACTCCTATATACACATACACACACACACACACACACACACACACACACGCACATACATATAGATTTCAAAAAGTTCATATAGTTAATCCTTGAACAACATGGGGGGCACCAACCCCCCATACCCACAATAAAAATTCACATGTAACTTTTGACTCTCATAAAATGTAACTAATAGCCTACTATTAACCAGAAGCCTTACCGATACCACAGTTGATTAACACACATTTTGTATGTTTTATGTATTATATGCTCTATTCTTACCATAAAGCTAGAGAAAAGAAAATATTAAGACAATCATGAGGAAGAGAAAATGCATTTATAGTACATTTTAAAAACTGTATTTACTGAAAAAAAATCTGTGACAAGTGGACTTGTACAGTTCAAACCTGTGCTGTTCAAGGATCAACCATACTGTTATATCATGTAAACAATTTTTAAAAACACAGAAATGGAAGGAAAAATGTTGAGATGAAAAAGTAAATACAAATAGGTTTTAATATTCTCTTATCACAAGAATCATCTTTCATTTATTGTACTTTGAGGTCCTTCTTTAAACTGTTTCCCAGCAAGCAGTATAAAAGATAATTTCAGGGGTCACCTCTTAAAAGGCAGTAATTGGTACCTGTGTGAATTTCTATTTAAAAATTTTCAACAAATGAAATAACTAAGTTTTTTCTCTTTAAAGCAGAACACTGGGAGTTTCTGAGAGGTCCAAAAAAGTAAATACTTAGGACAGTTAATAATCAGCCAATATGCTCACAGCTCAGTCACTCTGCTGATGTATCACTGCTAACCACAGTAGCAGCCTTGAGATCTGTAGTTTTTAATGTTTTTTGTTCTTAGTCATGAGATAGGGACTATGGGCTTGGACAGAGTAGGGTGAGGGCTTCCAGAAAAAGCAAGGCAAGATATTTACAGTCAAAGCAATGTAACAATGTAAAGTCCCTATCGAAACTCTGTGTTAAGCATCATGCAAAGTCAAGGTCACACTAATTCTCTAGGGTAAAGATACTAGTCTAGGAATATAGACATCTTCAGTGAGATCAGTTTAAGGCCAAAAGGCCAGGAGCAACTTGGCCTGGAGTCCTGGCCTGGAGTGTTTGAGTGTTCCGCAAGGGTATCTCAGCATAACCCGTGACTTCACTGTAAACAGCCCTAGCAAGCAGACAACCACCCAGCCCACCCTGGGGGCAGGACAGATGGTACAAGTCCATACCCTAAGACCTCAGTTCCCAAAAGTCCTCAACTGCCTATAAATCCCCTAAACAACGCACCACCTTGGGCTCTCTTGTCCCCTCCTGGCGTGAGCCAGGAGCTCTTTCCTCTCACTTTATTTCTAAATAAAAGCCTCTGCCCTTGCTCTACCTTGAGTGTTTGTGAAGCTCATTCTTCAGCTTCATGAACAAGAACCCCAGCATCAGTCATATCAATTTTATATCCCATATCGACTGTTTTAAAATAGATGACAAACGAAAAATACTGCCAAATGCTAATTAATAGAAAGTATTAAAAACAATAATTCCGCATTTTTGCCTCATGGTGATTTTTTCCTACCCATATTATTTCACTGAGTACATCACATAGAATATTACAAGGAGAAATATAGTGGTAATTATACTCCATTTCTTCTTTAGTTCTTCATTTGAGAATAAAAAGAAATTACATTGCCCAGGTTACTTTTACAAAAAGCCTGAGGTCTTCTCTCATCAGTTAGATACAAGACAAAATATTCTAAATATAATTTGATGTTTTAAAAAAAAATACAATAATTCCAAGCATCAGTCATAAAAGCAGTTTTTGTTTTGTTTTAATTCTGTGAAGTGTACTTAATTTTAAATCCTGGGGAAACCTTGCCTTAAGGCAAAATTAAGGGATACCCTATCTTAAATCAACATGTCTCCATAAAGGCTGAAAAAGTACTTCATAATACAACCTCCAGTAATACGTGTGTGTCTCCTGATACTGGTCATGCTTGATATTTTAACTACAGACAGCGGTCAGTTCTACTTGTCATATCAACACATTTATGTAAGCAGCTACTACCCGTGTCAAAATAGTATATTTAATTCCTAAATTTAGGATCCTTTTCAAATTATTTTCGAATAGACACTAACATGAAAAAGACTGTTTTGTTGTAATAGTAAAATTCTAGGTTTGTAAAATTTTTTCTATCACTCAATATGTTCATTATGAACATCTAGCAGAGAGCCAGGCACAGTAGTAAAATGTTTGAACACTAATATTTATTCTTACAAACATACACGAAGTTATGCATGAAGTCTTTCCAGCTTTCCTAAACGTCCTTTGGCTTTAATGGTGCTAAGTGAAAGGATAAAATGCACAACAGGAATACATTAAAATGCACAACGGAATACAGTAAAAGTGAACGGATAACTGTGAGAAAGAACACAGTATCAACAAATACCTTTAAAGGCAAAGGACCTGAGCTTCCCAGACTACAAAACCCAGAGTTCCCTGGAGTGGAGGCGGAGCTGTCTCCAAATTGCTAACTGTGTCAGCCAGGGGACACGGCCACGCCAAAAAGGGCGTGAAGGACTGGTTTCCAACACTTAGTTCACACTTAAGTTCTAAGCGTAGGTGGATGTTTCCGTGCCCGATTCTAACTGCTATTTCTCACCGGCAGGAGAAGCTTTCTAGTTACTTTAACAATTCCCTACCCGAGTTTGTGTGATAAGTTTTAGCGTCTGACCGCCGAAAGACATTCACATTATCCGGCATGTACGGAAAGCCCCAGACGCCGAAGGAAGAGACAGAAGCCACTTTATTCTTGGCCTTTATTGGTCAGGCAGCCGCGCAAACTTTCTTCACAACCAATGAGCCGTTGAGCCTGCCGTTAACATAACGTAAGGGCGATGGTGTGCGACGCTATACAAAAACTGGGTCTACGTAGGCGCAGACCTCCTGTTTTCGTCCAATCTGGAGAGAGGCCAGCCCTTGCGTGATTCCTCGCGCCTGTCTGTCCCGCCTCTTCCGCTTTCCCTATATCCCGCCTCTCTGCTGCTGACCAATCCTCTGCCCTTTCATTTGCATGTTCACTCAATCAGAGAGGTAGAGGGTGGGTTCCGGTCGCCCTGTCTACGTCGTGACGGAGCTCGCGTTCTCTCCTGCGACTGTTGTAGGCTTGCTACGGAGGTATTTTTCGTACGGCGGGGTTGGTGACGACTCTGGGATGGGTATCTCTGTTCGGTGGGTGGCGGCAGTGCGGGTTGATTCTGGAAAGCTGGAGTCGCTGAGCCTGTAACCTGAGGAGAGCTGAGGGAAATAGGGAGGAACTGGGAGCCACGTGTGGGGGCTTCTGGTGCCGGCGTGGGAGCCCGTGGGTTAAATGCGCGCTGTCTCTGCTCCGCGGGCCTTCGGCTAGGTTGGTGTTGGTACCACCACCAACACGCCCCCGGGTCGTTTTTCAGTAAAAGCTAATTGCTTTTCCCCAAGTGTGAAAGGAAAAGAAACCAAGACCCGTTTTTCCCTTGCCTGTCGCATTCTTTCCTATCTGCTTCCTGGGTTTGTTAAGTTTCGAGGTCAGAAAATAAATATTCTTCTGAAAAGAGACATCGTGTAGTTTATAGTACGAACTATGAGACCGGTTACTGTGTTAAGCCCCGTACAAGTGTTACCTCATTTATCCACAGAAACGGGTAGGTAGTGCTACTGTTCGCATTTTCACTTGAAGAAACGAAGATATGTTAAATTACTCGTTTACGTGTTCTCTAAAGCTTGTCTCTGACAAGTTCAGAGTGACACTGGTTTCCACGGACGCAAAATTATAGTATGTTATTGTAATTTGTTGCTCCTGTTTTCTTCCCTAACTTGAAGTTATTTTGGAAGTTAATACAAGATACCTAGAAGTAAATGATGTTATCAAGGTAAAATGACTAGGTAGTAAGACCTCAGAGTAGGGGCCAATTAACCTTTGAGTGGGCAAGTCACCTTCTCAGATGTAGCTTCTTAAACTGCAGGATTGAAATCAACACCAGACATGCCTACTTCCTAGAGTTGTGAGAATCAGATGAGATAATGGGCATAAAATATGAATTACTGATGTTAACTCCCTATGACTTTCTGCTTTTCAAATTCGTTCCTGTGGAGGCTGGACTGTCATTGTGTAACACACATATATAACAGTGGTAACATGCAGCCTAGTACCACTTTGGTGCCAAATATCTCTTAAACCTAGATGGCTCCTTTATCTGCTTACCCAGGTAAAGGTTCAGGATAGCATTTTCTATAAATGTAGAAGTGTTACTTGTTTGGGATGAATTCTTACTTTAGACTGATGTAGATAGCATAAAGCAAAAGTAGATAAACTCACATAACTGCTTTGCTGTGTTCTGGGTCCTTGTGGAGGCTCTGAGGGGAAGATCCATTTCCTTGCCTTACTCAGTTTCTGGTGGCCACTTCTATTCCTTGGCTTGTCGCTTTTGCTCCATCTCAGAGTATATCACTGCGATCTGTGCTTCCATTATCGTATCACCTCTCTAGTCAAATATCCCTCTTGACTTCTTATGAGGGCACTTGTGCTTATATTTAGATAATCCAGGGTTATCACTCCATCTCAGGATCCTTTATTTATTACAAAATCCCTTGTCATATAAGGAATTATAGGTTTCAGAAATTAGGTCTTGAATGTCTTTGGGGGCCATTATTTAGCTTTCCACAAAGGATATAATAAAAGATTCTATCCTACTATCTTAAATCCTAGTAGGATATACTATGAGAGGGAGGAAAAACCGCATTAAATGATTCCCAAATTGCTGTGAAAAGACCCTTCTAAGTTACTATAGGTTCATATTTCTCCAACTTCTACAATGGGAAATGGTAGAGGCAAATGGTATTCCTGTGATATCTGGACACACAGCCTGAGTTTACCTCTTAAAAAAGAGTGAAATTTCTTTGAATTCTAATCTACCTTAAAAATTCGTGTGAATTTGCATCCATTTTCCTAAAAGTCCCCTTATTTAATGCTGTTTTGAATTACTTGCCATATCATACGTAACATTGCTGTTTTAGGGCAATAGACTTTATTTTGTGGTTTCTTAGGATAGCCAGTTTACTATAGTTGTAGGTGTGTGTTCCCCAGTTTAAGAAGCATGACCTCAGGTGATGGGGATTCTTCATAAGGAAGCCATTTAAGCAACCAAATAAGGAGTCTGGGTCCCATTGCTCCTAAGGCTACAATAATATGCACTCGGCTTCAAGGAGAACTGGACTGACAGTTACTCATCATTGATACCCTCAATCCCCCTGGCAAGAAGATGGTAGCTCTAATGATTTCAGGTTTTTGTCATATGGTCAGAAGATAACCATCTTCTGTCTGTTCTGTCTGCCTGGAATTCACAATTCCCAGGAGACAGGATCTGATGGATTGGGTTCATTACCATCCAGTATGGATATGTTGGAATAAGATAATGTATGCAAAAGAGCCCTGCTCTGAGTAGGCATTCAGTATATAAGCATTATTCAGTAAAGATCTCTGCTTCTTGCATGAAGTTAAAAGGGGAAAGGACAAGGAAAAGCATATATGGGACATTTCTATGGGCCAGGCCTGGAAGTGATCTGTGTTACTTTTTCTCATGTTCATTTGGCTCAAACTCTTGTCACATAGCGACACCTAACTTGTCTGGTTGTATGTCTAGCTAGTGATCTGCTGATGGATTAGTAGTCTCTACTGCAATGGGCAATACCTCTAGTCAGCTGGCTTAAGACTTGTTCTAAGCCCTTAGTTTCCAGCAGTTAGTTTCTTTGCCTTATGAATTCTCCATGGCATCCAGATGCCTCTAGATAACTATTGGAGCAAGTCCTTTTTAAGCTGGCTGCAAGCTATGCTGTTCTCAGGTGCACAGTAGTAAGCTTCACATCCTTTGCCCTGCCAAAGTGGATGTTCAGGGCAAAACTGCAATGCAGCCATTTCTCCTTGTTCTGTTTGAGCAGGTAGACATTTGCAGTGGTCTCAGACTTTTCCAGGCATGGATCCTGTATCAACAGTCTGGGGGGGATCAGGCCAAGGTCCAAGTTTGAACTACTCTGATGCATGTTAAAGGAGGGAGTAAGGGAAAAATTCCGCAATATTTTTCCACAAAATAACTAACAAGTTATTTTTTCAACCTCTTCACTTGGTGTTTTTATTCCGTCAAAATGGGTGTGAAGCTAATGATTGCAAAACTACTTTGAGGCTCTTTGCAAGAACAATGTGGGTGATCTATCAGCTAACTTACGGATGTGAAGGTAATGTGTGTAGTTAATAGGTTACAAAATTTTCATTTCTGTATGCTTACAGTACACTTAATTGGGTGTTTTCTTGACGATTAATTATATAACTGATTTTTTTAAACTCCCAGTAATCCAAACCTAAGGTATTTCACTTGTTAAAAGGTCCTATTTAGTTCACCAGCCTTCTCTGCCAGCCTTCCTTGTTTAGGTAGTAATCTAGGTGAAATAAGAGGAATGAACATTTTAAAAAGCTGACTTTGAAACTGATAATCTCTGGGAAGTTAGCATTTCTCAATGACTAAAAAGTTCTTTAGGTTTCTCAATCATCAAGCAGAATCATTGATCTTCTAAGATGCCTTATTTGGTTTAGAATAAACTTAAGGGATTGAGATGAGTGACAGGTGGAAGTGATTTTTTTTTTTTAAATCTTGGAAAATAGTACTATTGTAGGGCTACTATTTCATATTTTGTCTTGTTACTTTTTTAACTTTTTAAAGATTATAAAGCTTCATTATTTGTTCTATATTTTCCAAATTTTCTTGGCTAAACATTAATCATTATGAAACAACTTGAAAAGCATAAAGCAAAACATTGTTAGCAGCATGATGCAATAGAAGAAGCACTTATAGTCAGATGTATATCTAGATCTTGGAAAATGTTGAACTTCTCTGAGCTTTAATTTACTTGTTGGTAATATAAAAATAGTACTTAACTCTTGGAGTTGTGAGAATCAGGTGAAAAATCTTTGCAAAATGTGATTTTTTAAATAAATAAAATAATAAGGTTTTATTAACTATTGCACCTTTAATGGTTCAAATTTAGTATTAATTCAGTTGTTCTCCACTAGTTGTTAACTACTGTAGTCCATGTGATACTTAAAAAAATTTTTTTATTATAGTATGGTTGACATATTAGTTTCATGTGTTCAACATAGCAGTTCCACATTTATATACATAAGAAAAAGCTCACCACAATAAGTGTAGTTACCATCTGTCACCCTACAAAGTTATTGCAATATTACTAATTATATTCCCAATACTATACTTTTCATCCCTGTGAATTACTTATTTTATAACAAACGTACATCTATCCCCTTCACCTATTTTGCTTATACCCCTGACCCCCTTTGGCAATCACCAGTTCTCTGTATTTATGAGTCTTGTTTCTGGGTTTTGTTCATTTATTTGTTTTGTTTTTTTAGATTCCACATATAAATGAAATCATATGGCATTTGTCTTTCTCTGTCAGACTTAATAAACAGCATAATACCTTCTAGGCCCGTCCATATTGTTGAAAATGGCAAGATTTCATTCTTTTTGATGGCTGAGTTAATATTCCTTGTATATATGTACCACATCTTCTTTAGATCTACTCATCTATTGAACATTTGCTCCATAACATGGCTATTGTTGCAGTCAGTATAGGGGTACATATATCTTTTTTCAATGAGTGATTTTGTTTTCTTGGGTAGATACCCATAAGTGGAATTACTGGATTGTATGGTATTTCTATTTTTAATTTTTTGAGGAACATCCATACAAATTGGTTTTCCATAGAGGATGCACCAGTTTACATTCCCATCAACAGTGCATGAGGGTTCCTTTTTCTCCACATCCTCACCAACACTTGTTATTTCTTTTTTTTGTGTGTATGCATGTGTGTGTGTGGATTGTTTGTTTTTTGATACTAGCCAATTTTGGTTGGTGTGAGGTGATAGCTCACTGTAGTTTTGATTTATATTTCTTTGATGATTAATGATGTTGAGCATCTTTTCATGTATCTGTTGGACATCTGTATGTCTTTGGAAAAAATGTTTATTCAGGTCCTCTGCCCATTTTTTAATCAGATTATTTGGAGTTTTTTGGTGTTGAGTTGTATGAGTTTTATATATATTTTGGATATTAGCTCCTTGTCAGTGCTATCAT